TCTGTCTCTTACTGCCCTGTCTATCTCTGTCCTCCATCTCTAGTTGTTCTCTCTCTGTCCCTTGCTGTCTTTGCTCTGTCTATAGTTGTCCCCTCTTTGTCCCTCTCTGTCTCTCCTTGTCCTCTCTCATCCCCTCTCTGTCTGACTGCCTCTGTTTCTCTCTCTGTCCCTTACTGTTTCTCTCTGTCCTCTCTCTGTCTCTCACTATTCCTTCTGCCTGTCTCTGTCCTGTGTCCCTCACTGTCCTCATCTGTCTGATTTCTGTCTGTCTCTAAACAGCCTCCTCCTGACCCGGAGGCTGTGGAGTGGAGTGGGGCTTCAGAGCTGAGCCCTGGACCGTGCCTGGTGCCTGCCTGGCACGCAGCAGGTGCTCCGTAATCTGCAGCTGGAGGCTTTGCTGGGAGTGACCCAAGAACCCCGGGACCCCACCAGGTGTGTCAGGAAGGGACCGGCCTGCCAAGGGAGACCTGACTTTCGAGGCCTCTCTGGGCTGGCCCCCTCCCTCCTCCAGCAGTGCCCCCTCCATTTCCGCCACATGGTCTCCTCCCATGGCCTTGTCTCTGCCTCCACGTCACATGCCAGCAAGCTCCTGTCTCCACACCTTTGCTCATGCTGTTCTGCCTCCCTCAAATACCTTTCCCTTCCCAGCACAGCCTCTGATTGTACTTTGAGGTATAACTCAGGCCCAGGTTCCTCCCTGAAGTTTCCAGTAACCACCTTTGGGTCACAGAGTTTGGCACCAGGCAGGGACTGTTTGCTGTCTCTGCATCCCAAGCACCCAGGCGGGGGCCGGGCAGAAACACTGGGCAGATGGTGCTCAGAGTTCGCATATCCTCCCTCCCCCCACCATCTTGCCTTGGTGCAGTGCATTTGTGACAGTTAAACAAATGTTGCTACATTAACTAAAGCCCATCGTTTACATTAGGGTTCACTCTTGATGTTGTGCGTTCTATGGGTTTTGACAGATGCATGATGTCATGTGCCCACCATTACAGCATCATACAGAGTAGTTTCTCCACCCTCAAAGTGCCCTGTGCTTCACCTCATCACCCGCCCTCCATCTCCACAAACCACTGCAGCCGCTGATCTTCTTGCTGTCGCTGTAAGATTTCCCTTCTCCTGAACGTCATGTAGTTGGAATCATACAATGTGTAGCCTTTGCAGATTGACTTCTTTCACTTAGAAATAGGCGTTTATGGGTCCTCCATGTCTTTTTGTGGACTGATGGCTATTTTTTGTGTGTGTGTGGTAAAAAATATATCATAAAATTTAACATTTTAACCGTTTTTAAGTATACAGTTCAGTAATGTTAAGTCTATTTACATTGTTGGGAAACAGTTCTCCAGAACTGAAATTCTATACCCATTAAACAACAACTTCCCTTTGCTGCCTCCCCACAGCCCCTGTAACTACCATTCTACTTTCTTTCTTTTTTTTTTTTTTTAATTTATTTATTTATTTTTCCCCCAAAGCCCCAGTAGATAGTTGTATGTCATAGCTGCACATCCTTCTAGTTGCTGTATGTGGGACTCAGCCTCAGCATGGCCAGAGAAGCCTCTGGTGCATCGGTGTGCACCTGGGATCTGAACACAGGCCGCCAGCAGCGGAGTGCGCGCACTTAACCGCTAAGCCACGGGGCCGGCCCATTCTACTTTCTATATCTGTGAATTCAACTGCTTTAAATACCTCATATAAGTGGAATCATATTTATTTCATTTGGAATAATGTCCTCAAGGTTCATCCATGTTGTAGTATGTGACAAGGTTTCCTTTTTCAGTGTATGTGTATTCCATGTTTTGTTTATCCATTCGTCTATCAGCAGACACTTGGGGTTCCTCCACCTCTTGGCTATTGTGAATAATGCTGCTATGAACATGGATGTGCAAATACCTCTTCATGACCCTGTTTTCAGTTCTTTTGGATATATACCCAGAAGTGGAATTGCTGGATCATATGGTCATTCTATTTTTAATTTTTTGAGGAACTGCCAGACTGTTTTCCATAGCAGCTGCACCATTTTACATTCCCACCTACAGGGTACAAGGGTTCCAACTTCTCCACATCCTCACCAACACTTCTTACCTTCTGGATTTTTTGATAGTAGCCGTCCTAATGAGTGTGAGGTGATATCTCATTGTGGTTTTGATTTGTGTTTCTCTGATTATTAGTGATGATGAACATCTTCTCATATGCTTCTTGGTCATTTTTATGTCTTTGGAGAAATGTCTGTTTAAATCCTTTGCCCATTTTTTAATCAGGTTACTTGATTTTTTGTTGTTGAGTTGTATGAGTTCTTTATATATTCTGGATATTAACCCCCTATCAGATATATGATTTGCAAATATTTTTCTCCTATTCCATAGGTTGTCTTTTTACTGTGTTGATTGTGTCCTTTAATGAACAAAAGTTAAGTTTAATGTAGTCCCATTTGTCTATTTTTGCTTTTGTTCCCTGTGCTTTTGGTGTCATCCCTAAGAAATCATTACCAAATTCAGTGTCTTGAAGCTTTTCCCGTATGTTTTCTTCTAGGAGTTTTATGGTTTTAGGTCTTAGCTATTTCTTTTTATGACTGAATAATATTCCATTGTACAAATGTACCAATTTTATGTATCCATTCATCTATTGAGAAACATCTTGGTTGCTTCCAGGTTTTTGCAGTTATGATTAAACTGCTGTAAACATTTATGTGGACATAAGTTTTAACTCATTTGGGTAAATACTTAGGAGCACAATTGCTGGATCATATGGTAAGAGTATTTTTAGCTTTGTAAGAAACTGCCAAACTGTCTTCCAAAGTGGTGGTTGCACCATTTTCCATTCCCATCAACAATGAATGAGAGTTCCTGTTGCTCCACATCCTCATCAGCATTTGGTGTAGTCAGTTTTTCGGATTGTAGCCATTCTAATAGGTGTGTAGTGGTAGCCCATTGTTGTTGTAATTTACAATTCCCTAATGAGATATGATGTTAAGCATTTTTTCATATGTTCATTTTCCATCTGTGTATCTTTTTTGGTGAGGTGTCTGTTGAAGTCTGCCCATTTTTTAATTGGGTTGTTTGTTTTCTTATTTTTGAGTTTTTAAGTGTTCTTTGTATATTTTGGATCCAAGTCCTTTCTCAGATATGTGCTTTGCAAATATTTTCTCCCATTCTGTGGCTTGTCTTTTCATTTTCTTAACAGTGTTTTTCACAGACCAGAATTTTATAATTTTAATGAAGTCCCGCTTATCATTTTTTTCTTTCGTAGATCATACTTTCGGTGTTGTATCTAAAAAGTCATTGCCAAACCCAAGGTCACCTAGATTTTCTCCTATGCTATCTTCTAGAGGTTTTACAGGTTTGCATTTTACATTTAGGTCTATGATCCATTTTGAGTTGATTTTTGTGAAAGGTGTAAACTCTATGTCTAGATTCATTTTTTTTGCATGTGGATGTACAGTTGTTCTAGCACCATTTGTTGGGAAGACTATCTTTTCTCCATTTTATTGCCTTTGTCCCTTTGTCAAAGATTAGTTACCTATATTTACGGGGGTCTATTTCTGGGCTCTCTATTCTAATCCTTTGATTTGTTTGTCTGTCCTTATGCTGATACCACACTGTCTTGATTTCTGCAGCTTTAGAGTCAAGTTGGGTAGTATCAGTCCTCCAACTTTGTCCTTCTCCTTTAATGTTGTGTTGACTATTCTGAGTCTTTGGGCTCTCTGTGTAAACTTTAGAATCAGTTTGTTGATATCCACAAAAATAACTTGCTGGAATTTTCACTGGGATTGCGTTGAATCTATAGATCAAGTTGGGAAGAACTGACATCTTGACAATATTGAGTCTTCCTATCCATGAACATGAAGTATCTCTCCGTTTATCTAGTTCTTTGATTTCTTTCATCAGAGGTTTGTAATATTCCTTGTATAGATCTTATACATATATTGTTATATTTATAGCTAAGTATTTCAGTCTTTTTGGTACTGATGTAAATGGTATTGTGTTTTTAATTTCAAATTCCAATTGTTCATTGATGGTTCATTGTTTTCCAAAATATGAAAGTATGAATCCATGCTGATTGAAACAAAGTGGAGCTGTGCTAAGATGTAAAAAGGAAAAGCTAATCACCCCCCACCTTTGCCCACCCCTGGTACCGAGGGTGAACACATGGCCGTGCTGGCCAAGACCTTGCTCAGCAAACTTGCAAAACATTCAGGAATGTGGTCAGACATATAGGGATTTTTGTTTATCTTTACTACTGTAGAATCACACCACGCCATGTTACTCTGCATCTTTCTTTCAGCACATAACAGTTTATCATGGCCAAGCCTGTCAATAGTCAATAGGTGCAGATTCTGCCCCTCCAGTTCTTTATGCATATACGTTTGTACATACACACACACGCACAGATTATTCTGCAGAAATAAAGTCCTTATACAAGCTGTGGGCATTTTATTTTGGTATGGTTCCTTTTGTTCTTCTTTGTCTGTTTGCATCCCCACCCTCGGGTAATCTGAATCAGTAACCGTGTGCTGAGTGATGGTTAGAATGTGTAGGCTCGTCGTCCTGGTTAGATGCCAGATTCTGTAGGTGTAGAAATGACGTCGTCCTGTGAGACCCTCTGGCCTGGGCTAAGCACAGGGCCGGACACACATGTAGCTGTTGGTAGCCTAGAGTTTGGTTCTGGGCCTCAGTTTTTCCGTCTGTGAAGGGGTCATGGTGATAGCACCACTTCATGGGTGGTTGGAAAGATGGAGAGATCATGCATGTAACATGCCTGACACATAGCGGGTGCCCAGGACATGTGAACTCTCGTCACTGAGTCCTCTGTTGTGGGTGACTGGGGCAGAAAAGGGGGCATCCTGTGGTGAGAAGGAGGAACCAGGCTGGGGAGGTGATCTCTGTGATGCCAGCCCTGTATACTGGGGGTGGGACCATCAGAGCCTGGGGTGGGGAGACAGGCTGGCCCCCTGGGACCCTGCCCACCCTAATCGCGCTGTTTCCTCCTCTCTGCTTTTCCAGGACAAGCAACTGCGGCTCTTCGACCCCAGAGCAAAGCCCGAGGCCTCCCAGGTGTGTTGTGTGGCGGCAGGGTGGGGTGGGGCCCCGGCGGCTCCAGCAGGTGCAGGCGGGGGCAGGCTCAGCCTCCTGGCAGGCAGGTTCTGCCACACCCGTGCCCCTGGCCAAGGCCCGGTGGGTGCATAGGGGTCCCCTGGGAGGTGGCCTCCCGCTGCTAGAGCTCTTTCTGGGAAGTGTGTTCTGGGTCCTGGGAGGGCCTGGCTTTGATCACAGGGTGCGGTGCAGCCAGGCTGCCCACAGGCCTTCGGTGGAGGCAACCTGTGGCTTCAGGAAGCTAATTTAAGATTCCAACTTCCTCTCCTTTGAGACCCTCATCCCCACCCACCCTTCCTGGAGCGGTCGGCAGAGGCCAGCCATGAAGTTGCCAAAAAGACATAGCTCCCGTTCTCTGCAGCCCTACAGTCTCACAGCCAGCAGACCCTCAGTGTGTGCCTGGGGTCTGTGGGCTGTGCTGGGGGGCCTGCCAGATCCACAGGACCCAGGCACTGAGCGTGTTTGGTTTGCTCTGTGGTCGTGCACAGGGTGCGTGTGGGGTTTTTTTGGAGTTCAAGTGGGGAAGCCAGGCCCTGGGTTCATGCTACAGGCATTCAGAATCATTCATTCATTCGACAGCAGCTTGATGCCAGGCACAGAATGTTCTGTGGTGAATGAGACAGACACATGGGGTCATTGCTGGGGGGCTTCTCTTGCTGGGGTGGTTTAGTGCTTCCCTGGGGAACTGGCTTAGAACTGAGGCCTGAGTGATGCAGATGGCTGGGGTGGGATGAGCTTGTTCCAGGCATCTGAGTGAGGGGTGTGGAGGGGAGGCAGGGCCATGGTGAAAGGCCTGTTACTTGAGCTGTGGGAAGCCATTCACGTGTTTTAAGCAGAAAGTGAGATGAGTGGGTTTTACATTTTTGAAAAGATTTTTATAGAAGCTGAGGAGCCTTCTTCCCTGAGGAAGATGAAGTTCAGGGTCCTGCTGCCAGCTCAGAGGAAGAGCTCCCCAGCAAAGCCCCAGGCCCATCACAGACCCCCCTGCACCAGCCTAAACCAACCAGCAGTAGTGGGGGGCCTCGTTCCACACACACACACACACACACACACACACACACACACACACACACACTCTCTCTCTCTCTCTCTCTCTCCCCCT